AAAATTCAGATGTTTTAATTAGAGATGTTATTGCAAAAGTGGTACTTTATTGTGCTGTGCCACTACTCTTATTCTCCCAAAGCTACTATAGGAGGTAAGTCCTTGATGTAAGTTTCATGCTAAATAAAGTGTACAGTGTGTTCAGTCTCTTCCTAAGGAGATGATCCGTTGTAAGGAAGAACAAACTGCATATTTGAAAATTACTGAATGGAAGGATTCAACCAATATTCCCTGTAGGACCTGCTGATATTCATTTGCCATAAAACAGTATTTTCTCCAGCTGTAGGTTTGTTGAGATTTTTTTGATCTTCCATCAGCTGCTCAGCAAGAGGCCAAAATTAACAATAAAGGCTTAAAGAGATCCTAACTCTAGGAAAGCTGCTGGTTTTCTAAGGTTAAGCACCATGGCATGTTGCAGTCTGGTGCCAAATTTGGCAATGAGTTGAGTACCTCTAACCTCTTAGTACCTCCTTGAGTACCTCAATCTCCTAGTGATTTTCAGTGCTGAGTCCCAGTTAAAGAGAGATTTTACATTGCAAAATTTGTTTTAATCAAAGAGCGGTATCTTGGATGTTGGTAGAGTGAGAGAAAAATAAATAGTTATGGTGTCACTGGATATATAGAGAGTTCAAACCCCCTAGGTTTCAACTGTGTGTCACATAGCCAGGTACTCTTACCAGATGTTTCTAGAGGGAGAGAAAAGAAGAGAAAAATAAATTAACAAGTAAAATTCAGTTTAATGAAATGTAGCAGCTGTCACAAAGGAAATCAATGGGATATGTACAACTAGCCTTTTAGTAATGCATAATTACTGTAAGGCTTCTAATTAATTTCCTTTTTACAATGCATCTTTCAATACCAATTTGTAGGTGTCTAAGAAGGAAGGCTTACATTTTGTTTCTTCTTTGTAACCTCAGGATAGAACCAAGAAACCATGAGCACATGCCCTTATTTGGGAAGAACCTCCGTCTGCAATTTATTAACATTTATTTGCATTGAACATACAATCTGTGGTTCTATATAACCACATAATGAAAGGCATCACCGTCATGGGGTTTAGCTTTTGTGCTCAACAGGGTCTTGCTCTTCTCTTGATGTCCAGTTGCAGTCACTGTTGAGGACATGAAAGGGCCACTGTGTCTAATATTCTGTGACCCAGGATGACTGTTCTTTACAGGCTGGTAATTAGAGGGTTTGGCTTTGCATGTATGGATACCCTGACATCACAGAGAGCATAAAGCTCATCTCAGCACAGAAAAATGGAAGGTCTGCCTTCTTGGCTCCCTTCTGCCATGCCCTTCTTCCCTCATTTGATCTTAGCCTAGAAACAAGCAAGCTGTGCTTTATGAAAGCTTTTTCTTGATCTAATTTGAGTTACTTTTGTCCTTCTCCTGGTGCATCTGTGTGCTTGTTCTGTCTACTCTTTAAGTCCAGGCAATCACAGCATTGGTTTGGTGCCATGCTGTGCATGGTGTTGAGGTATGTTTGAGCTCCAAGCCCCACATTTTTATTTGCAAGAAGCTCAGCTGAGTTGCATTTGGAAGAAGGATCAGGCAGAGGAAGAAAAGAAAATCACAGGAGAGGTAGTTCGTTAGCTAGGCAGCAAGGACAGGGTCTTCAGTGGGGGTCATGCAGCATTCTGTAGTAGATGTTTGGTTCTTTATGGATAGGTTTAATCTCATGTGATTTTGGGCAAAATGGAGACAATCCTTGGGGTAGTTTCTTCTACTTTCAGTAGGGAGAGAGAAACTAGAGAGTATCTGGGCTCCCTGCTTGGCTGCATGTTAAATGCTAGAAGTGGGGTGAGATGAAACTAGGTCAGAACCTTCCTATCTCCCTCTGAAAGTCCCCACCTTTATCAGGATCCCCAGTTATCTCAGGTAAAACCTATCATGCCATCAGCTCCGAAGCACACCTATCCCATACCTCCTGCATTTTGAAGGTTATCTCTCAAGGCTAATCCTCCTCCAGCTGGTCACTGAGAGGCTTTCCTGGAGGTTTGGCACAGCTGTTGCTTCTCTGCTGGAGCTTCAAGAGACCACGAAGTCATTGGACCAGGTACCAAACCCACGTAAATCACAAAGGTTCAGCTTAAATGTAAAGACACAGGCCTACTTGTCATGTGTGCCTGCTTTCCCACAACTCCCACTCCCCTGCCCAACTTTTCCCAGTTGGCACCTCTGTCTCACAAGGCACTGTTGCTATAACAGCTGTTTTGTTTCATTTAAACACCTACCTCAGCTCCTGTCCAAAATGCAAACATTTCATTAGCACCTCATCTCCTTGGCTTCAACCCACAGCACTCGGCCATAATGAAGTGCTGCACTCAGAAATATAATGTGGGGAGCTCTTGATTAATGCACTGAGACAGGTGAGGGGAATGACCCTCTGAGAAAAGCTAGGGACTAAATTAATCTCGGATGTGATGCCAACAAAGTCTACCAGCTCTGTTCAGATACATGGTAAGGATGTGACTCAAAGTCCTCGGAAATCTTTCTGGAGCTTTTGTGTTTGACCCCAGACCCAAAGTGATGTGAAGGGGCTGGTTTCAGGTTAGTCACTTCAAGAGGATGGATGCTCAGCATTGGGTGGGGAGTGCACATGGTGCAGGAAGCAGTACATTAGGCTTAATTGGTGTTCTCTTTTAAACGTGCATGCACACATATGTGCACATATGAAAAAAAGAATGAATGCATTAGATAGTGTTGTTTTTTTTTTTCCCCTGGGGTAAAGACTCTGCAGCAGATGTTTCACTGTAACACAAATATTTTAGCATCTGTTTCATATTCTGATGAATAGACATTACCTTTCTGTCCAGAGCCAGGAGCTGGATCTGCTGCAAAGACATTTTCCACCATTCAGGTATTGATAAAAGTATGCAGGGTGTTGTTTTAGCAGAGAATTTAAGACATCGATAGGAGTTGAGCTAAATTGAGGTAAGGCAAATTGTGTGACAACTTTGAAGGGGAGAAAAATCCTCATTTTCTGCTTTCCAGGCATAAAAGGTCTTTACAAGAAAACACCATGTTGTGTAGAAGCTGCACCACAAATAATCAAGCTTTTTGGTCACTGGAAAAGAGCACCACCTATTTTTTTGCCTGTGAAGAGATAAACTACCAAAGTATACTACAGAATTTTATTAAGAGCTGCAGAGATCAGCCTTCCAAATTCTAAAACACAGAAAAATACCATATTTAAATGCTATGGATTTTTCTGTTTCTTCTTGACTACTAATTTTAACCAGCTTGATGTATGTACATAGCAAATGTGGTAAGATAATTTTTAGACTATTCAAGAAAATCAGTTTAATAATCAGTTTTAAAAATTGCTTTATGGTTATCAAGTTCCACTTAAGACCAAATGAGTGAGGCATTCTGTTGATGGTATAGGAGAGGTTTGGCATAAGAACAAATGAGTTAATTGACCATGAATAAATGTAATTGTGAAAGTAGGAGCTTTGTGTGGTCAGAGAAGCCCAATTATGGTGCAGTCTCCCAACAGGAAACGCCTGATGGTGTGGGAAACCTTCCAAACTCAAGGAATGTATCTTTGTGGGATTAAAAGCACCAACAGTGGCAGTTTTAGCTGCCTTTTTTCTCCTTGAACTTCACTGTAGTTGAAATGCTTGTTAAGGTCGTGTGGATATAGCAATAAATTCTAGTTTAATGTGATCATATCCTCCCATTGTTCATTTGCACGTGACCGTGACTGGTAAGTCAGGATTCTCTGTGCCACATTTTGCCATTGTAGTACTCCTCCTGAGGGTTCTGCTGAGGAATGGTCTATGCAACAGCTTCTTTCCACCCATGGGTTTAGTAGCAGTATCAGGGGTAAATACTGAAGTATTCCCATGACAGTGAGCCCTTGGGGCACGCTTTAGGCTTGGAAAATGTTGAAGTCTCATGGGACTGTCATCAGCTTGCAGAGCAGAGGTGTAGGTTTGATGCCTATGTGCTCAGCATAGAGAAAATTATTACGAACAGCAATTTCATCTTGGATGGGAGGTTGGTTTCTGCAGTCAGTCTTAGCTGGCAGTGGAGGTGTTTCTCTGTGGGGTAGGCCTGCCTGGTGACTAGACCCTAACCAGCTGAAGAAAGCATGATCAAAGTAGCTTATTTTTTATCCTTTTCCTCTGTACAATCAGTTCTATCAAGTGGTACAGCTGATCTCATTTAAAAATGTTCACTGAAAAGTGGTTGAGTGAGCTCTGGTTAGTAATGAAGCAGAGGACTTAGGCTGAGAAAAGCCTTCAGTTTGGGTAAATTCTACTGCAGTAATTTTGCAGCCATGAGAGCAGTGCAGTTTTGTGTGATCCTGTGTGTGCATCCAGATTAACCTGTGGGAAGTTATCCATGGGAGAGCTCTTTGTGCATGGCAGCCCAGGGCAGAAGGTGCACTGTAGGAGGGACTGAAGCAGTTTCCGCAGAGCTGACTCCTTCCTGAATGCAGTGATTTGAAATGCAGTCTTATCCAAATCTCTATGGGCACCTGCTGCTGCTCTGGATGAAGCGATGTAACTCAGCTATCTCTGTGTCTTCATGGCTGCCTGCCAGAGGTTATGTGGTGGGAAATGTTTTAGGGAGCGTAGCTTTTGCAGATACCAAATATCTTCCTTGAGTGCCCCAGCCCTACTCTTGAGTTCTGGTGCTGCAGATGGGGTTTTCCTGCATGTTTCTTTAACCATCATCTTCCTTTTCCCCCTTCTTCCCCCCTTCCCTAATTCCTCCATTTTCCAAGCCCGGTGCTGATTATTATGGAAGCAGAAAAGCACCATTCCCAGCCTGCATTTATAATAATATCAGTATTTCCTCCCTGTCCCATCTGATGGTACAGAAGTTGTCCTGCCCCATTGCAGGCTTCCCTAATGGGTGGGGGAAGGAGATGCTGTCGTTCCCTCTGTAAACTGATGTGTGTGGAGGATGGGACTAAGCATATGTCAGAGGTCTGTGGTGCTTTAGTTTTCCTGGAGCCTTTTCTCACCCCATCCCTCCGCCTTGCAGGCCATGGTGGAGACGGTGAACAACCTCCTACAGCCTCAGGCTCTGAACGCGTGGAGGGACTTGAACGCGAGCGAGCAGCAGCGTGCGGCCACCAAGTTGCTGGACACGGTGGAGGACAGTGCCTTCGTGCTGGCTGACAACCTGCTGAAGACAGACATCGTCCGGGAGAACACTGACAACATCCGTAAGGGGCACATCCCATAAGTACCGGGAGCAGCCAGTGGAAGAGTAAAGGCTGGCTTTGGTCTTGGTCCCTAGATTAATTGGAGAGCGATTTGTTAGTTATGTCTTGGGCCTTTGTCTGAAGGACTTCAAAGTCTTTCCAAAAGAGCCTAAAGGAATAAGGCAGCTCTCTACCCTTGAAATCCCACAGAAAATGAGTGCCTGACCTGCCTTTATTACTCCCGGCTTTGAGGATATAATCTGTGCTAGAGCAACGAGAGCACTGCTTCACAGGGGGATTGTTCATCGTAAGGCAATTGTATTTCATTTCATACAAATTTGTGTCTTTATTCAGCTGATTGTTGATTTTAATTAAAAAACAAGCATGATGGAAAGCACCAGCTCTCCCAGTGTGCGTATGTAAAATGAGAACAACTCTTCTTTCTATTTCCACGAATACAGATCCTGAGCGCTGATAACATTTACAGAAAGTACCAATCGCCAGTGGCAAAGAACTAGTATTCTCAGATTTTCATTTTAACTGTTGTCCTTAATATCCTGAGGTTCTTGTTTACAAGAACTGGTTGTTTTTTGTCTTCCACAGAGACTAGAATTTATTTGCGTGCCTTTTTTTTAAATTAAATTTAAAACTTCTTCAGGGCAAAGATTTAAAAAGAAATAGGAGTCCAAACACATTCTTGCATGCAGCATTTTAAGTTAATTCCCCTCCTCTCAGCTGGTTGGAACACCATTTTGTAGCTTTGAAATACCATGTTGAAGATTATTTCAGCAGAGATTTTTTCCTTGGTGTCTGTCTCTCTTGCACACAGAGCTGGAAGTTGCGAGACTAAGCACAGATGGGAATCTGGAAGATCTGAAGTTTCCCCAGAACATGGGCCATGGGAGCGCCATTCAGCTGTCAGCAAATACCTTGAAGCAAAATGGTCGAAATGGTAGGTCTGGCACCTCAGGCCACATCAACCTCATGAGGCAGTCATGCCTTAGGCATTGTTTTGTGTTTAACTGTTATAAGTTAAGTATTAATTGCTGTGTTAATATTTAAATTAACAGTGGTGTCATTTGTTCATGCCCTTGATTGCAAGCTACGTTGACTGACTGGGAATGTATTATATTGCTAAGTGATTCACAACCTTCAAAAGTATTTTGTGATGGTAAAAATGCATCAGATCCTTAATTTATGGGGCTTCTGTGGCACTGTGCTGAATCCAGAGAAGTGCTTTTAACTGCTGACTTCTGCAGTAGGAGGCTTCAGATGGGATAAGAGGCTCACTTCAGTAAACTGCTTCACAGCAGGGCACCATACAAATATCTGAAAAAGTACAGGGAAGAAACAATGGTAGCAAATATTATTAATGAGCCAATATGACAGAAAAGGTTGATTAACTGTTATGAATCTAAATCTTTAATGCCTTTCTGTATCTTATGAACCTCCTGATACAGCATAAATTTTAGATGATGTTATATGTGAATGGTCTTCATCCTGCCAAGCCATTTATTTCCAGATCAGGAGTTTGAGCAGACACATCTGTTGATCTCTACAGCCTCACTGTAGATCAGCTTTAAACTCATAGGATTCTACTGGTGGGCCCAACATGCTCCTGTTTCTGAGTTCCTTTAAAATTTAATCTGTATGCAGGGGACGACGCTCATATATTGACTTTGGTCACTGCAGGCAGAACACAGAATTATTGAATAGCTTGGATTAGAAGAGACCTTTAAGATCATCTGGTTCCAACCCCCTTACCATGATCAGGGATACTTTCCACTAGATTAAGTTGCTCAAGCCCATCCAACCTGGCCTTGAACACTTCCAGGGATGGGGCATCCTCAGCCTCTCTGGGCAAACTGGGCCAGTGCTTCACCCTCCTCTGTGTACAGAAAGAAAACATGGAATGATAGGGCAGTATTACAACCAGACCAGATGTGTTAAAATTTCTAGAAATTTTAGACAAAGTTCGGTCTGGTGGTTCAGAAACAAAGTCTTGTCACTGTCTTGCTTGCACATAGGATGTGAGGAGAAGCATCTCTCTGAGAGACAGTTTAACACTCAAGATGCATAGCAAAACTCCAACAGGGCAGGACTTTTACTCTGCTGTTGGCAGCAATGAAAGGAAAGTTTTGTATTTTGAAACACAGTATCACTGGAGTTCTGTTCAAAGCAGAACCCCATCAATTTTCACTTGCTTGACACATGCCCAGAGGTCACCAAAGAGCTACGAATGGAATTATCATAAAAGGATTTAGGTTAGGAGGAACCTTTAGAGTCATCAGTGCCTCACCTTCCTCAGATGCTGTGGTAATTCATATAGGAACAGAAACATACATCTCCACAACTAGTACATATGAAGGCAAACTAATCACATTCCATTCCTATTTATAGGCTGTGAAATAATGTGCAAAGCAGAAGGCAAACTGGATGGTTTCAGTTAAAAACAGTTGGCTGGTAGACTCAGATTTCTTCAGGCTCTCTAAGGGTGTTTTTCTGATTATCTGATTGGCAAATTAAGGGAATAAATGTATTTTTAAATGAAATTTCTGAGATTTCGTTTTACTTGTCATGTGAGATTGGAATTCTGTTGGAAATTCTGTTGATTTCTTCTCCCAGATTTGTCCCTACATTTTCTTGAGATAGTCTTAATTTATTACCAGACTAAATTATAGTTTTCTATTGCACCTGTGCAATATGTCAGCTTGAAACCTGTTTCCCAGGTATATCCAGGAGAATAAAGTGATGTCAGGTGGAAAATGGACCACCTGGCCTCTTTTTTTTCTGAAGCGAGTTCCACCTACTGATGCCAAAAATAAGCCCACCTTCCCTATCTGTCTTCTGCTCATCTGTTTGCTTATAAAAGTTTCTTCTGGAAGAAGGAGCTCTGCCCTTGTTATCCAAGGACTGCTTGTTGCACCTCTTGGTGCTCACTGGAATTGGCAAGAGGTGGCTTTTCATATGCCACATCCTGGTCCTTTCACATTTTCTCAGAGCAGTTTTGAAGTTGGTTAAGAGAAAATATTTACAATCTAAAAACCAAAAAGCCACCCCAGTGACTCAGCCTGGCTATCTAACCTCTTACCTCTCTCTAGGTGAAATAAGGGTGGCTTTTGTGTTGTACAACAACCTGGGCACCTATCTCTCCACGGAGAATGCCAGCATGAAGTTGGGAACAGAAGCAATGTCGACCAATCACTCTGTCATCGTCAACTCTCCTGTCATCACGGCAGCAATAAATAAAGAGTTCAGCAATAAGGTTTACCTGGCTGATCCTGTGGTGTTTACTGTCAAGCACATTAAGGTGTGTGAGTTCAAAAAGGACTTATCTTTTTTTTTTGTTTATTTCTGAAATGAAATGATGCAAAAGTTGGCTGCTGTGAGGCCCCCAGCAGTCCTTGATTAGATTTTGAATTATACTTTTGTTCCTTTGCACTTTGTGTTATTTATGGAGAAGGTGTCTTTTGCATTGTGTTAAAGAAGTAAAGAAAGTGTCTCCTTTGAGCTGATGCCCATTGCTCGGTTGCTGACACGCATCATTCTGTAATTAAAAACTACCAATAAATTAGAATAGACCATAATGTTATTTTATCGTGGTGGCAGGGGATGTTAGAGGAAAGTGGAATTACAGTGAAAGAGGACAGCTAGTCCTCCTGCTATCCAAGCTCAGTCGTTGCAAAAGTTGATTGCTTAAAGCAATTAATTTCACTGCTCTGCAATGCAAATGAAGCAGTCGGGTTTTGAAGAGCTGGATTTAGTCAATGTCAGAAATTAATCAAGAACAAAGAACTAAGTTTGCCTCGACAAAGAGTGCAGCAACAATCTAACTTTGTCTTGTATTGGCAAGTAATACTTGACGTATAAACCACTACTAATTGTTTATCTAAAATTAAAGGATGAGAGTTACAAAGAGCCTCAGTAGTGCATTTAGAAATCTCTGAGAGCCTATCATTGTTATTGCATTTATTAATTTCTTCCCTGCAGCAGTCAGAAGAAAATTTTAACCCAAACTGTTCATTCTGGAGCTACACGAAGCGTACAATGACAGGGTATTGGTCCACCCAGGGTTGTCGCCTCCTGACAACTAACAAGACACACACCACGTGCTCCTGCAACCACCTCACCAACTTTGCAGTCCTGATGGCACATGTGGAAGTTAAGGTAGGCATTGCAGATTCCCAGGCTGCCAATGCACTGGGCAGGAAAAGTGGTCAATGTGTGGCACCATTTCGTTACTACTAATGGAGCTGAGCAGGGATGTTGCTGTGTGATGGTAACTCTAGAAGTAGAAACCATCTGGTGTAAGTCTTCCTTCTGCTCTGTGGTGAAACAGGAAATTGGCACACCAGTGCAAAGCCTGTCTTGGGCTCTTTAGCATGGGCAGCTCTGAGCTGGGGATATGAGTGAGCAGGTTTTGCAGTTGCCATATCCTTTGCTAACTAGTACAGAACATTTCCTGGTTGGGTTCTTTCTCATAAGGTCCTCCCTGTGTTACCAGCGAGTAGCAAGAAGGGGGGACAGAAGTGTGCAGTCCACCTTGTGGGGTGCAAGGTTGGGTGCCCTGCTGACAGCAGCTGCAGATACACTGCCACATGTGTTTGTGTGAGGTGTGTGTGTGGAGCCAACAGTGTTTTCCTCCTTCCAGCTAAGGGGAAAATGCATTGTCTGCATCTCACTGTGTGACAAAGAGATGCAGAGTGTGACACATGAGAGGGAAGCTTCTGATACCGTCCTGTATAGACTGAGCATCTACTTGAGGCCAGTACATGACCAGCTGGTTCCCTTGCCTGCATTTATGTCCGTGGTGTAAATCTGGCTTTTCAAATGACTAATCCCACAGGAGCTAAAGAAGTTAATCCTGAAGGTAGATACTCCTTGTGTTAGCAGTGATTTTGGAGAATGGTTGAGATGATCCTCCATTTCCTGAGCTGCCTTGGCTGTTTTTGGTTGAGAACAGTCTAAAGTGCTAGAGAAAGAAGAGAAGGCTGCAATGTCCAAAAGATTTTGGCCTAGTCATTTTCTTTATTGTGGTGTCTCCATTTCATGTGCCTGGCACAGCAGCAAAATCCACAGCTCTGAGCTAGATATGGAACTGGCATCTTCCATGCAGGAAGAACTTTACAGATTCACTTCCATGACCAGCATAACCACAAAAGCTATTACGATTTTAAACCTATTTTTTCTCAAGTAGTCTTCCAGTTTCACTGCTCTGTGTATTTCTGTTCCACTTAATAATCTGAAGTGGAATGTAAAGACCTGCGATAAAATATATATTAAATAAGCATCATGTATGACAAAAGTTCTGCAAAAAAAGAAATGGGAGCCTGGGGGCACATTTCACACAACAGCTGGGTCCACCTGAGAGGGGCAGGATATGTCTGTTGCTCCTGCAAGTTGTGGTAACCACTTTATCCTGCTAGAGTCAGTCCTAGTCCAGGAAACATGCCATTAGATGTTTGTGCCATTGTCCTGGGAGATGCCTGAAGAAAAAGCATATTTAGACCACATATTTACAGGTTAATGGCATTCTGCAGTCCAGGTCTGGTTTTGCCAGTTTCCTGTAACTGCTTGAATTTTCATAAGAAATGTGTGTTTGGCTCATTATCACCCACCTGGAATTAACATATATGCCTGAGTCACTGAAGTCAGAGGCTGCAGCTGGGAAGTGCAGATAGTGATCCACTCCACTGGTGTGAATGGGGGCGATCACTACTGCGTGGTGCAGATGCAGCCCGGTCCTCAACAAGCCTCTTCTAGAACTGCAAATAGGTCAGCCTTGTCTGCACTTTCCATCCAAACCTTGTGAGACAAGTAGAGCTGCTGTTATCTCATCTTGCAGGAAAAGTATTGTAAGACCTTTTCCTCACCCATATTCATCCAGCAGGTTGGAAAGAGCTGCAGCTGGAAGCTTCCTGAGTGCCAAGCAAGTGTGCTATTAGCTAGTGGCTGGTTTTGGGTATTAACAACTGCCCTCAAGACTTTCAGGTCATGTTTTATCATTTGGCTGCAGCCAAAGTACCATTACTGTAAGAGCCAAATTGGCTCCACTTTGTTGACTCTGATACAACCGGACAGCTTCCTGGCATGTCCACTTCAGTGATCATCCTGGCCTGAGGGCAAAGGCAGGGCAGGGCTGCCTCCCACATAACACAGACACATATTTCAGGTATAAATATGCAGACATTTGCAACTTGTCCTGCCAGCTGCTTGTCACCTTGCTCTTCCTGGTGGCACTGTCTCGTTCCATGGTGGAGGTGACCATGTGGCTCTTGGCATAGAAGGTGGCTTATGTGACGTTTCTTATGCCATTGTAATGACTTGATTTTAAAGTCTTGGCAGCACAATACCTGCTGGTTTGGAAAAGTGGAGGTTTAGAAACAAATGGGAGTTGTTGTCATTCATTGACTCATGCTCACTGCTCATAGATATGCTTTTGAGCCTTTTTTTGTCTTGTGGCTGGTTCAAAAAGGCATTCCTCAGTCATTCCATGACCTGTTAAGTGTTCTTGGAGGTGGAATGTTCATTGGGGAAATGATGTAGTGTGTTTCTGCAAGACCTCTTAGACCAGTGTTCTGGCAATGACCAGGATCTCTTAAAAGGACTGTTGTACCCACAATAAATAATAATATTTTGGGAGTTTTACAACAGAAACAATTTTCTCCCATAATTGAGATTTGTAGTTTCCTGACTTCAGTTGTTTGGATTTTTTGGATATGTAGGGAACATTCTTTGCCTTAAAGAGTATCCACAGCACCCTGCCTAATGAGACTGAAAACTGGGCATCGTGGGGAGCAGACATCATAGTCCCGCTAATCAAAAACCAGCACCAATTTGACAAGTGTCACATCTGCTCATGAATGATCTCCCTGCCTGGTAACATGGCACAAGAGCATGTTCTCCAGAGGGGATCTCGGTGGCTGCTCTGTGAGTTCCGGGCTGTGGTTTAATTATTAGCAGAGTGTGTGTGGCAAGGTGGAGCTGGAAGCTAGAATCACTGAGGAGAGGATTGATGGCCATCTGGCTCTCCAGTTTGAAAAAGCAATGTGTCTTTGTACAAAGGGACAGTAAATACCACCAGCTGACCATGGCAGTAGGGATTTATTGGTGTGCTTGAAGAGTAGAAGTTGCTGGAATCAATTCTGGTCTGACTAGGACAATACCTGATTAAGAGGAGAATTTAATTTGAAGGTGCTTTCTGCCTGTTAAAATAAGTTGGTCTTATAGTTTCTTATTCACCCACTAGGGTAAAATAATAGTGTCTAAGACCAAGAGTTGTTGTGCACACAAGCAGGATGCATAACTGCTGGGAAGAGCAGTGGATCCTCACCTGCAGGTCTCCTTCCAGCCACTGTCTATAAAAATGTGGTGGCTCCCATGCTGTGGAACAAATCCCATCCTTAAATAAGCCATCCTACCTATGTAATTGCTGTAGAATTATTCAAAATTTACAAATTGTTTTTCATAAGCTTGTGCTTTGCATCATACTAATTATAGCAGATGCATTTTAAATGTATCATGGGAAAATTATGCAGCCAGAAAACAAGTTCAGAGCTGGTGGGAAAATGAAATTAAAAAAACCACCCTAACCAGAATAAGCAAAGGTACCCCCAGGGTAGATAAATGTTGCTTATCAGTATGTAGTGAGTGCCAGATCTTACTCTTCTTTTTAAATACAAATAGAAAGGAGGAAAATAAGAAAGGTTTTTTGACTGTTGCAATTAATAGGAAAGTTTGAGGTGTTTTTCTTTACCACAAACAGACTACACTGTGCTAATTATTTGGGGAGTGGAAGCATAAGGCAAGCTAAGGAGAGAAAGGAATAAAAATATATGAAATCTAAGTGGAATGTTGCAGTCCGTTGCCTAAAGCAGTAGAGGAGCAAGCTGGAGTTATTGCAGTAACTCCAGATAACTGATCCTGTGTTCTAAACTTCGTGTAGCTCACACTGGCAAGTGCTAAGCCTTGATCTGTGTCTTGCTGCACCCTTCCTTTCTGGCTGAGAGCAGGGTGAATGTGAGCAAAGGTAGTGGCCGTGGTGGGGTGGAACCATGTTCCAGCTGTCTCTTGGCAGTAGGCTAAGTAGGATAGCACATCACTGTGACAGCAGAAGCTGATGACGCTGTGACCAGGCTTTTTCCAGAAACTCAGATTTCTGGCAGGTTGGCTGGGTGTATGTCTATACTAGGTATGGCACAACTGCTGTAGCTCATTTCTTGGGTTGGAGATGCCATGTGAGTAATCAGAGCTGCCTAAATCCAGCCATCGTGGGAGAGCAGGATGATGGATGCAATTATTATTCCTAAGCCTCACCTCCTCTCCACGACTGAATTTGACCTTAGCTGCCTCTCAGTTGCAGTGGGGTTGCTGAGTACAGTGGAAATAGTGGGCTCTTGCCACGTGTTGTATTTGCAGTAGTGTCTGCGACACATGGTGAGGTGAGGTCTGTACCCATTTCTCTATGCACACCTGTCCCCATACAGCTTTGTTCTGGGTTTCACTTAGGATGGCTGCTGCTTCTAGCACTCGCTGGAAGGCTGTTGCATTTCTGGGGAGAAGTCTGTGGGAAAGAGTTCTGTTAGGAGGGCTTTATCTTGCTGAGGAGGGCAGAAGAGGAGGAAGCTCATCTGTGTTGCCCATGCAAAATATGAAGGCAGCTTTGTGGACTAAGGCAAGGAGAGAAAAGATGACTAAACCACCTTGTAGGAATGCTCAGGGATCTGAGCCTTGTAGTGAATGGCCAAAGTCAGAAGACATTAATATTGCACAGAGGCTTCAGGTGGGAATTTTGCTCGCTTTGTTCCGGGGTTAGGACCTGTTGGTGTCAATGATTGCATCACCTTTGTATAGCCCAGAGGGAATGTGTACCAGGTCCATGGGTGCTGTATTCACTGTGGAGCACGGCTGCCTACCTCCCTGGGTGCATCACTGGGGAAGATGGAGAGGATGGGTGCTAAAGCAAAGGGATCTCCCCAGCTCATAGTCCTTTGGCCACAGAAGGGGAAAAGCTCCCTTAAAGCCACTCATGCTTTCATAGCCACAGCAGGTGAGGCTTTTAGCCAGCTCGGATGTACTTCAGGAATCCTTGGGGTTTCCTCCCAGTCCATGTACCCCAGCTGGTGCTTTTGACACATTGACAAAACCATCTGGCCTCTTCAGTAACCCTCTGCACACAGCCAACAAAGCCAGGTCATAGCAGTAAATTTTCTCACCACCAAAGATGGGGGAAAAAGTGCAAAGAGACCCTGCATGGCTCCAAAGACCTACAAATCCAAGAAGCAGCATCAGCAATGCACAGAAGTTCAAACCTGTCCCAGCTGGGTTTCTGCCCAGCCCAGCACTCTGCCAGCTTCCACCAGGCACTGAGCGGTCATATTTGAGCTAGTTTGATGACATTGTGTTTTTATTTACTGCTTGTTTATTCTTCCACCCCCAAAGATATTAGTTCTTCCATTCCTGGAAGGACAGATTAGGCAAAGGAATGTGTCCTTTGCTGCTGGCAGCTTGGTTTGGCTGCTGTTTTCTTCTGCTGATGTTTTTAATAAGGGAGGAAATGGCTGTTCATCTCAGGGAGAGCCATTCTGTCATAAGCTGACATTCCCCGGGATTTGTTTTTATTAGCTCAGCTGTGGTGTACAGGCACTGCCAGAGCTGCTCATTGATTTTCCCAGCCTGGATAATATTGGGGCTGCCTGCTCACCCTGCTGTGTTTGCGACCAGTGTTCCTGTAACTCCTCCTGCACAAATCCCTGTCAGCACTCTCCTCCTACTGCTGTTGGCCCCACTGGAACAAAACCAGGTCTTTATCCCAAAGCCAGAGACATCTCTTTTCACTGAGCTTTATATGTTCTAAATCATAAATGTAAAGCAAACTTACTCTAGAAACCCTGTCACTGAAGTGGTTTGGTTTTTGTGTTTTCTTCAGTTATTTAGTAATAAATAACTGTGCTAAAAATAATCTGTGTGTCAGCTTATTCTGTGAAGTGAGTGTATCTTCGTGGTAACAAACCTTAGTGTCTTGCATGCTATGCCACATAGCACCAGTCTGGAGAGCCATGGTGCATTTGGGCAAGGAGTTGTTTGGTTGATGCTGTCAGGAATTGTCTCTTGGACTGATACCTGGTATTTCTCATGGACTCTTTGGGTTGCCCAAGTATTTGGGAAAATAGTTTAGAAGCAAGAGGTGACTTGTCAATAACACTGGTGGTCTCAGATGTATGTTGCATGCTTTAGAGACCCTAGGGTTTTCATGGTGCTGGAAAGATACTCCTATAGGTCTTCTGGGAACGGCATATCCCAGAGGTTGTGATCAGTGGCATGGAGTCCAGTTGGACCTGAGCAGGGAGATCACATCAGACAACACCACTGGTGATCCCTTCCAACCTTCACCATGCTGTGATTCAGTGGTTAGCATGCACATTAAAGCTGTTTTATCCTCAGTCAAGGTGTTTTGAACAGTGCTGGACAGGTAAAGAGAAGATTTGCTCTTGCATTTTTCTGTGGTTAAGAGACCAGGCTTGAAGGCTGAGATCTCCATACAAAATCTTGGTGTGCCTTGTATCATATTAAACCCTGGAACTCCATGTAACAACTGTGTAAGTCAGGTTATGCTGCTCCTTGTTTGTCACACAGCAATCAGGTGATAGCAAGGAAAAGCTCACAGCATTGGGAGAAGTTACCACTATTGTTCCCTTTCCCGTATTATTCTGATTGCTGTAACAGTACGGTAATTTACAAGTTTCAGTCTCCAGAAAAAGGCAAGTTGCCTTTTGTTGTAGTTGCTGGTGTACAAGCTCTGGATTTGCCTGCCCTGAGGGAGCAGTTGGCACTGCCATGGGAAGGATGCCAGTGCTTATCAAGTCTTCCCTGATCCATTGGCTCTGCAGTAGCACCTGAAATTGGGCATCTCAAACAGGCTGGAGTGTACCCAGCCTTTAAAATTCAGCTCACTTCTTCTCTTGGACTTTACTAGAAAAGCTACAAATTCTTTTTTTTTTTTCCCTGAGGTGTTTTTAAATTGCTCTTGTACCCATTTCATTGTTATCATTCCTTGCCGTTTGTTCTTCTGTGAGTTTGTTAAGTTTGGGGAGGGAGTTTGTAATTATGGAGAAGTTGTTTTTATGGTTGTTTTCCAGGACTCCAGGGATGAGTGTTATGTACATAAAATCAGTATTATCTTTACAATAAATATTAAAAAGAAAAGCAGTAAGAGTGATAATAACAATAACGATACCGCAATGAAGCATATTTACTGCTAAGCATGGTGAGCTTCTTGGTCAAGCAGCCCTTCTCTGAAACAGGCAATGACCCTAGATGGTAGGATCCCTCTTCAAGAGGAAAGACACCTGTAGTTCCTGCATCATGTCTTAACTTCAGCAGAGTTGTGATATTGTGATAAGTGGTGCAAGAGCTGGGACCTGTGAGACTTATCTCACTTAGGAGAAGAAGCCCTTGGAGAATTTTCCCTGCACCATGTTAAATTTGTCTTGAGATGGATGAATCTGGCCACATTTGGGTGGGGTGTGTGCATCTGGCCGCAGTCTGCCTGTTTTCTTTCTCCCTGCATCCACCTGCATTAGCTGCCTTCTCCTGTTGCCCAGCCCAAGAGCTCTTGGTCCATTCAGCCTGGCAGGCCAGTCTAATCAAATGAGGGCTTGTTCAGGGAGATGTTCTCCTGCCATTCCCCTGCAGCCTCAGACAAAAGAAAGAATGATTTGCAAGGTGCAAGGTTTGCATTAACATTTTTCCGCAGAGTTAAGAGGGATGGATGATGTGGAATGACACTGAGATAAAGCAACGTGCAGCTGCCAGGGAAATGATGTGCTTCATCTTGTCAGGTTTCCGGGTGCTGCTGGATGAGCTGGCTTGAATAGGCATTTCTGTCATAAGCCACAGAAAGCACACAATGATTTCTTGTTTCCCTGTTGGACTTCTGACCTCTAGTTCCTTAGGTATTGGAAATAGTTGGAAAGAGATGCAAGGGGGTTTGGGCAAAGGAGCCATCCGTCTCTACACCTCCAGGTCTTCATGGAGACAAAACTTCCAGCATGGAAAGAATGGAGCAGAGGAATAACTCTCCATCTTTCATTATAAATTGATGCCTATCACTCATGCTGGTGAAGTCAAAAGAGCTGAAAGGTTTGAGATGTTTCTTACAGGTGCCGACACAGTAGAGTGTATATCGGGAAAGGTCTGATATTTGATGCGGCTTTATCATTGGCAAGCAGGCAAAGAAAATGGATAATTTAATCACCTTTTCCCTCCATCTGTCATAAGCTTTTATGGCATGGAGAGAAAAATGTTTCCATTTTGCCCTGGCTTTTTGAAGTGTGACACTATTGTATTTGCCAGCCTCCATAATGCCTAAGTCATCGAAATGCCAGAAATGGTGGAGAATGTGATTACCATTTATAAGACAAGTTGGTGGGCCACAAAGCTGGGCTTTGAGCTGCCCTGGTCTTTGTAAAATGCCCCCAGAGATATCCAGCCAGTCTTTTCCCCAGCTCATTGACTCTAATGACTTACACCCAAGCTGTCACCTCGTGGCTCACCATGTATTTCTTGTGTTTTATTTACATTTTGTTATACCTGTAATTTCACATCTGGTAGAAGCTTGGGGAGTTACAGGTGATTTTTACAGCCTGAACAGGGAAGAAGGTGGTGGGATACTCTCACCGGGAGGGTTTCATCACATGCCTCCTCTTTCCACAAGGGACATACAGTGGAAATTCAGGAGCAATGCCAGCAGTGTTTTGTCAGGAGAGCCAAGGCTCACCTATCCTGACTCTCGCAAAACTTTGTTGCCTAGTTTTGCACTGGCTTTGTTTGCATGGCTTTGAAGTACATCCATGTTAAAAGTTCATCACAGGGAATCAGTCACTTTCCAGGCTATCTTAAGATCACTGTTCTGTTACAGTTTAAAAACAAATTTGTCTTAAAAGGTCTGTCTTTTTTTCTGGGTAATGTTCTCAGGATCAATCTGACTTCCCAAGAGTTCCAAAATATAACTCCAGGGTTTGAATAAGAAAAATCAAACTTCCTTTCTCCTTTCCCTGTGGTAAAAGAAAAAAAAAAAAAATTAAGCAATCTCTTTCTTTCCAAAGTCTCCAAGCTCATACATCTCTGAACATTTAAAGAGAGTCTTTTTTCACTGTTGGCAATGATTGTAATGGACTCGCAGTTGTTGGACATGATGTTGTTAGCATGAAATTCTTTTTTACACTTGAATCATTCTGTTCAATGGTTCTGTATACTGTGTGTCCAGGCACTCCTTTGCCATGTGCAAGATAGAGCCACACGCAAGACTAGCCCTCTTATCTCAGTATTTTCATCAACAGCATATGTTTCTGCAAGGTTTTGGGGTCTAAGTCTGTTCAGGGCACCTGCAGCTTGCAAGATGCATTGGAGTCTGCGTTTAAGGTTGCAGCTTTTTAGCTGCAGGGTTCAAGTTTAGGTCCATTTAATCTTTTTGGTACTGGTGCCTTGTGCCACTGACAGCCTTACTCTGTGTCTAGGATGTATTAGAAGTCACACATCATGCACCTGATGAAATTTGTTTGTTTTACCTTCAGCACAGTGATGCAGTCCATGACCTGCTCCTGGACTTCATCACATGGGTTGGCATCCTGCTTTCACTGGTCTGCCTCCTGATCTGCATCTTCACCTTCTGCTTCTTCCGTGGGCTGCAGAGTGACCGCAACACGATTCACAAGAACTTGTGCATCAGCCTCTTCGTGGCAGAGCTCCTCTTCCTCATCGGCATCAACCGGACTGACCAGCCGGTAAGAGACAAAGCACTTCCTGCTTCTATCACAGGCTCTTGTCTCAGTGCATCTGCAATGTTTGACCAGTGAGAAACATACCAGCACTGTCTTCATTCCATGCACAAGTCCTCGCAGGACAGGGCCCCCAGCTGATAACTGAGACTCACATGCTGATGCCTGCTGTGGTTTCAGGGGCTGTATGTGTGTTCTTTATCAATGTGTGTGTATGTTTAATAAGTAGGTTATAAAGATGAGCCTATACCATGTACATCTTCATGTGTTTATTTGCCTGATTGTGTATGTGCCTACCTTTGTATCTTTTAGCGTCACTTATGCAAATATGTGTCTATTTTAAAACAAGTCACACGTGTTTTCCAAGTGAAAAAAAGTTCTTCCTTTGGTGAGGGAAGATAAGAACACCTTCATTTTTATTAAGCCTCTAAGTAAGAGTACTCCTGACTGTTGCATTAATTAATCACAGTACAAACACCTTTCCTTGCTCTTTTCAATCCTCATACAGATTGCCTGTGCCGTCTTTGCTGCCCTCCTGCATTTCTTCTTCCTGGCAGCTTTCACCTGGATGTTCCTGGAGGGGGTGCAGCTCTACATCATGCTGGTGGAGGTTTTTGAGAGCGAGCACTCCCGGAGGAAGTATTTCTATTTGGTGGGGTACGGCATGCCTGCGCTGATTGTGGCCGTGTCAGCAGCAGTGGACTACCGGAGCTACGGCACAGACAAAGTGTGAGTGACCTTGGCATTGCTCAGACCTGCTCAGGAGAGATGGGAGTGGGGGCAACAAATGGACATAAGGAGCCCAGAGGGTTTGTTCAGGCAGAGCTCAGCCAGGAGGCATGCCTTTTCTTATTGTCTTGTGTTTCTTGCAGGACAAATTCCCCACTATGAAATGATTTGCAAAGGTATTTTCTAGGGAAGTCATTCAAGGAAAGTTTTGTCACATCATTGCATAACATCAGCAGTGGTGACTGTCCCTAGTCTCAGTTTGGTACTCTGTCTGCAAGATCTTCCTCTAACCAAAGAGTATTTCTTATTTGGATGAAGATACTGCTTTCTTCCTCTTTTTTTTTTTTTTTTTAAATTGATCTATCAAATTAACAGAGCCTGCAGGCAAAATAGGTGGTGACTGTGGAGTGCATTAGGCTATTTGCAAATCAGAACATCTGTATCATTTATCATTACAAATATTCTTGTTTTCAACATTGCTGATACTGGTATGGAAGCACAAGTTAGATTATCATGCAACACCGTCAAATGGAAAACAAGGGGAAGACTGAGCCTTTGATTCTCTTTGCCATCTTTGCTACAGTACGATTAACAATGTGGTATTATTGACCTTTTTTTCCTTCTCTTGTCAGTTTACTTTTCCAGTCTCACTTTATCTGAGTTAAGGGCTCAATACGAAGGCATATATAGCAACGAGCCAGTGGTGGTTCTGAAGCTCTTTTTTAGCCCAGATCAGGTCAGGCCATGGCAGCATTTGATTTTCAGTTAGGTTCAAGTGCAGATTTTTTGCCTGAAACCATATTTGTATATATGAACCTTTATTTCTTGAAAAAGCAGATCTGTAGAGCAGTGGAACTGCTCATGATCCATTACCATGCCAGCAGGCGGGCTTGGATCCCAGATGGATATTTGTGTTGTGTTCCTCCCATGAGTAGGAGAGCAGCGACCTGAATTTGTATAAATGTCACATTTGGTGGAAAGCAAAGGAAATGGCCCACACAGATAAGGGTAGGAGGGTGTAAGTTTTTAAGGCTCTCTACCAATTTATCCAAAGTAGTTTGACTGACTTTTACAGGCCTAGAGGGCAAAGAATAGGTAACACAACAGCTGATTGCCATTTTTGAAGAAGATTTTCCATCAGTTGCCACCTGCTTCCTGCCCCAACAAGCTCTTCTATTCACTCCCCCTCTTGAGCATTATATAAGCACCTATTAAATCAGGTATAGAAACTGTTTGCTTTGTCCCTTTAAATAAATTTATTCTTAACTGTGGTGTTCCTGCGGAGGACATAGCTCTTCACAGTGGCCTACATCGGACACATTGAGCCTCAGACATATTCCAGCAGTCTGGAAAGGACAGGACATCTGCCATTGCTGGAGCACTGTCTTAACCTCTCTGGTTTGCAGTGTAGTATTTTGTGGCTACTTTCCACACTGTTCACCCTTTGGCTTCTGCAAATAGACCTTGTTTCCATAGATCTTGCAAATAGACCTTTTGCAAATAGACCTTGTGCCCAAATGTTTCCATGGCATGGAAGGTACAGGCAGAAAGTTTGGCTGAAATTCACTGAAGGCAAACACTTCACTATCTTGGCATTGAAGAGGCAGCAGTCCTGTGTGTGTGCCAATAAAATATGCCTCCCTCACCATAGCACGAAGTGGTGTTTGTAATGATTAAACGTGTATATATAATATTTTGCAAATAAATATTTACAGAGATTTGCAAATCTGAAATATTTATTTATAATTTTTAATTCCAGAATGTACAATTTTATCACATTCTCATGGAGGAAAATAAAAACCATACAATATGTTTTGTAGAATTATCATGCTCCATCTGGTTGATGGATGATGATGTATTTTTCAGTATAATGTTATTAGAAGGGTAGAACTGATTAGAATTTGTAGTGAACTGTATGCCAGGCATACATAATTTGATTGCAAGAAGTTGCTTGGTTTTGCCAGGTTTTGTAAAACATCCTCTGGAATATATTACTTGCCTCCCTCCGTTATTTACTGCATTTGTTTAAGGAGGACTTATGGAGCTGTTAGTGTTATTTGTTTTTTGCCTGGCATTTGGTGCCAGCATTCATACTTCTCAGAATGATTTGCTTAAACACGCAGTGTAGGGTTTTCTTGATTTCATTTTCCTTTCTAAATCCAACCCTCCTGTAACACATGCCCCGATTACGTAGCCAGCCAGGCACAGGCAGTTGTTCCTCCCTCTCTTACTTTACTCATCACTTGGTGCTTGTGATTTTCTGAAGTGTCCCGTGTCCTATTATTCATATTGGCACTTTGGAGCAGCTGCTCCATAAAGATACTCCTATACACCTTATTCATTCAAGGATAGGGATTGATCCTTTTCCTACTTTTTTTGTTTGTTTGTTTGTTTTAGAACAGTTCAAACTCCTTATATTAGGAGATTAATTTGCTTTTGGGACTAAGCAGCAGCATAGTGAGTCCCTTAAAAGATCATCCTATTCATGCTAGCTCAATTCTGTTTGGTCCTTTTCTCCCCAGATAAATCAGAAATGTTGTGTCTCACCTTATTCTGATTGTAACCTGTCAAGTGAAGATGAAAAACAGGAAACCCCACTGCAGACAGTGTGTTTTCCCCACATTGCCAAAGAGATTCTGGCAGTGCTCTCATGAACCAAGTTACCATTTCTTACAGGCCATATCTTCAGCTGCTAGGTCTTAAATGGCCACAGCTCAAGTTTTGCTGCAAAAAATAAGATACTGGGATTGTATTCAAAAAATAATTTAAAAGATACATCATTTGCCTTATCCTGTGTGTTAACCAAATCCAGCCATCTCCTCAATGGATATGATGTCAAGGGTCATGGTAAGCAGTGCTGCAAAATGCAAAGAAAATAGTATAGAAAATAGTACTTGCTTTTGTAGTTAGTGTTTGAAAATAATTTGCATCTAAAATTCAGTCAAAGCTTAATTATGGCTTTAGCAGCCTTTGAGGGGACTCATGCTAGAAGCAGGCCATCCCAAATCAGCAGCAAGAAGCTATTCCATATTTTCATACTTCCCTGGGTTTCATAGCAAAGCCTCTCACAAATTGCAGAGAAAAGCAGCTACACTTTGAGTGGTTCAATATATTTTAGAAACTTGTAGGTATATTCATTCACTAGTGATCAAATCCATCATGGCAGGGATCTCTCTTTTGTTTCTCCCCCCTTCTTCCCCCCTTTTGGAATGCTATAAAGCAGGATATACACGGTAAGCAATCCAGCTGTCAGAAAGCAAAATGAAAGCCCTGTGTACGTACACAGCCTCCGAGCCAGGCACCGACATTTCATGCATGTAAATGCTGCTCAGAAAATAGCATCGAACAATGTGGTCTGTCTTGGGTGGCTCCACTGAACTTGTTTTATTTGCCGTGCTGCTGCCAGTATTTGGAGGAGGAAGCGTGAGCTATGTGGAAGCTGAACTCCATTAAGCAGGACCTATATTGCACCCTTGAAAGGCATGTCTGGTGCATACATATCCCATTACTGCACCCTGACAAGGAGGCGGTACAGCCACGTGAAACAAACAGCTGAGCTCCCATGAACAACATGATATGTTTAGGGCTCTTCAAATTTTATGGTCCAATGGCAGCTAATGATTGTTTATTGGTTATATTTAATGCACACCAGGGATAGTTTAGTATTTGATTTCTCTTCATGCAGAAAATAGAGTAAATTCTGTGTAGTCTTTATTACTTGAGTAAAGTTTTAGGTGACTATTGTGAGTTGCCACTGTGGAAAAGGAGGAAATTAAAAAGTAAAGGAGAGCAGTGCCACGGAGCTTGTCACAAGAACTGTACATATTGGGGTGACTCCTAAAGAAGCAATGGGGTTTTGAGCAGAATTCCCTACATAGACACATTTCCTGATAATCCTTTGCCTTGCACTGAGCCCTGAAGGAGCTCATTTGCTTAATGGCAGCACAGCCTAAACTTGTAATGTGTCAGGTCCATGCTCACAGCGCAGCTGCGCGTGGAGGGTCACAAGTAACTCGGCAGCCCAAGATTAGCAACTCTGGGAAGTGAGTTGCCTGATTGCTTCCTTGTTTGGAGGACCTCATTTATGCAGCTCATTGTGTGTGGGTTTTTGTCTTCTAAGGCAAGAAAAGCTCAGTGTGGTACTTGTCTGATTAGCAATTTACAGCTCCACAGCGCAATTGGCGGGAGGCCTGTGTTTTGATGTTTTGGTCTTAATTTGCATTTTTAATGAGGGAATGAGGGATGACTTAAACAGGTTCAGAATTTTACCTCTTCCTAATGACCACCAAAACCCCCATTTTTTTTTTTTTTTTTGTCTCCCAAGACTGAGTATTGTACAGGATTTCACCGAAAGGCAAATTTTTTATTCAAACAAATAAAAAATGACATTGCATTCTTTGAAGTGCACAGAGAGGCTTAAAAAAAAGCCTTCTGTTTTTCACAAGCTTGCTCCAGCTTAGGTGAAGCCACCTCTCCTAGGGCTCTTTTTGCTCCATGCCTTGCCTCCACTTATCTTGATGGCAGGACCTGGTTCCTCTGCTGTTTCTCAGCAGCATCCGTCTCTTGTCACTCAGTTGTTTTCTACAAATGATGAGACAAATATTTTAGGGGAGTGGGTTGCAAAATTTCATTGTTTTTGCAGTCTTGAAAAGGTACCAGTTGCCTTGCTCTTTTTTGCTGAGCCTGGCACAGCTTTTTGCTCATTCTGTATTTCAGCCAGCTTTCCCTAGTTTTTTCCCTGCGTCCCAACCTATATGCATTCAAAACCAGCTGCACCAGATGTGACTGAAGGGTGATCATCATGCTTCAGCAAGTAAAGAGAGGGTTTATGTTTTTCCTCTTCCTCAGACTTTCCAAGATCCAGGTCATTCTTTATGCTGAAGGAAAACCAAGGTGATGGTGACTAAAATAGTGTTCCCAACTTCTGGGCAGCAGGGGCTGGGGGTTGTTTTGAATATTAAACTGTCAAAAAAAAAATTTCAAAATATTTTCATTAAAAAAATAAAATCCCCACAACCCTCTGAGTCCTCTCCCACACACCAGCACTCATTATCAGTAGAAAAAAAAAGTGATGGGGCTGTGTATTCTGTGATTTATATGCAGCAGCTGAGGCATAAGCAACAGATACTCATTTTTCCTGAGGGGGATGGGGTAGGTATAAAGTCTGAAACGCCGTGTAAATATGTGAGCTGCTGCTACACAGACATCCTTGTTTAGGAATGAGGGGGCACTTTTTACAGGGACTTCATTATCCTTGAAACGTCTATTCTTTCGTGAAATCTAGTTGCAATTGGGTGACATTTCAGATGTTATTATGGGTGATACACAGATGTCATGATCACATTAACCTTTTCCTATAGGGAATCAGTCTCAAATCGTTTCGAGTCACTCACATTGTTCAACTACCAGATGCCTCTAAATCACCTTGAACTTCAGCAGCCACGTGGAAACCAAATTTCTGAGCAATTGCTCTGAAAGCCTCTGTTTGCCTCTCACATATAAGATTTTGCTGCTACTACATGAAGATTCTGGATGAGCAACAACAGAAGCAGTTCAGGAATGACAGTTACGGAAGTGACAGTATTTTAATTTGTGACAAATAGCCTTATGAGTATGTGTATATATATCAATACATCTCCAGCACTGATGAGATCTGAAATTTATATGGTCAGGAAGGGAAGTGAGAAGTTTTCTCTGCATATTTGAATTTATTCATATTTTGGGCTTCTCCCAGTCACAGAGGTTCAGGGCATGCTTTATTCTCTTGTCAGGCATCTCCTGCTGATCATCTCCCATGGGGCTGCTGGCACGGACCTTTCTGCCCGTTGCAAAGTCCATTGGAAGGGAAAAAACATTAGGCACATATACTAGAGCTGTCATTTGTGAGAACTGCTATCTCCACCGCCATGATAAATTCATATTTACAGTTCCTGTCAGTTGCCTAATCATGACATTCTGTCGGATGTTTAGTGTAAGAGTCGTTTTATGCTTTCTCAGTCCTTTGTGTATAAACGGAACTGTGATTTGCAGTGTTGCAAAGACGACAAGATACTATTATTTTAAACATCATGTGAAACTTTCTTGGAATTTACATTTATCTGTCTTGTAACGAGTCACTTCCATTTTATCTTCCTGTCGCCTGGAATGAACTAGGAATGGAAATGTAATTTCCCAGGGGCTTTAAAAAATGTGGGGAGTATTAAATGCAGTTGAAATTAAGCGATTAATAATTTAGTTTTAGGCCATGAATCAACTTCTTGTGATAGCGCAGACCGTATGCAACCCTGGAAACATTAGTGGAAACAAAATACTCAGGAGGTTCAGGGAAATAAAACACTTTAAAGGGGAAGTTGCTGAACCTAATTAAACCTCAGCCTTCTGTTATCCAATTCATGCTTCCTATTTGCACCAAAGTTTCTCTGATGTATTTGCTAGAGAAATGTCATCTCACTTGACAGCTGACAGGCAGCTTGCATTGCATCAGAGCTAGAGAGCAAAGAGGAGCATAAAACAAAGAATAAGCTCTGTGGATGTTCATCAGACCCCTTCCTTAAAAAGAACCCACACTTTAAGGAGTTTTTCCAACAGATGCAGTAAGCCTTAGCAAACAGGCCTTGGGCCATTTTCTCCCTGCTTCCCCTAGAGGTAATTATCTTACTCCATCAATAGCGCTGTCAGAAATTGGGCACATAATTCAGCATTTAAATGAACAAGCAATGTAATATTTCCTGTCTCCCACCAGCGTGTTTTGCAGCTCACATTCTTCTCTGTCACTCGCTCACTCTTGATGTATGTCCTGGGTGCAGTCCTTGAATGCCTTCTTTCCCCTGTGTTTCATTACAGATGTTGGCTCCGACTTGACACCTACTTCATTTGGAGCTTTATAGGACCGGCGACCTTGATAATTATGGTAAGAACTCCTAATTAACTACTCCATCTCTCAGGTCAAGAAATAAAACTTTTGCTGTCCCTTTTCTCTTTATCTTTAACTTACACAGATTAATTTGAGGAAGGCATGTTCTTCTTTGACCCTACCTGGCATAGCAATTAGATCCTCATTATGAGAGGCTCTTGGCATTGCAAAATACTTGATCAAAATGGACCAGAGAGCTTCAGAACGGGCACTTGCAGAGTTTGTTTTCTACCACTGGACATTTAGAAGTGCCAGACTGTTCTGATGCCACTCACTGCTCACACCCTTTTTGAATTCCAGAGTGAAGTTTTGCACTGATAATGAAAAAACAACAAAAAAAAAAAACACAAAAAAAAAAAAAAAAAAAAAAAAAAAAAAAAACCAAAAAAAAAAGAAAAAGGGAAAATTGGAAAGGGGGGGATGAAGAAAAGTCCAAACTGGAAAAGAAGTTTTTGAGGGTTTTTACTAATCAGCCAAAGTTGAAACTTGTGTGACTTCATGTTCAGCACATTGCCAGCATATCAGCTAACACAGCAACAAGGTAGAGAACCCAACTTTAGAGACAGCTGGAGTTTCCTTATACTTTAATCGCTACAATATGGCTTAAATAAACCATCCTTTGTTTTGACTAGGCTACAGTTTGGCTAGCCCAGAAAACAAGGCGCTCTCACTTCAATGCAGACATTGTCTCTGCTTCTTCTGCTTCTCCTGCAACTTGGGAGCCATTTCAGCAGCCTTCCACATCAGGGAGGGGGCCATGCCATCAACTACAACTATTGAGGGTTTTTTTTCCCTTAAGCAATTCATTCATAAAAAGATATCTTCTCTTTTTGATTATGTCTCAAATCCTAGACTGGGCTTTTTGGGAAACTCCTTTCCAGAAATTGGCTACCACTGAGGCATGGAAACACCATCGCATCTTTTACAGAACAAATCAAACCCTTTTTTATTTTTGTTTTTCAGCTTTGCATTGTGCTAAGCATCAGTTCTGATTTCCCTGCCCATCTGCCCCATTACAATATGTTTAAAAGGTGTATTCACGGAAAAAAGATGCTTTTATGCTTCATTACAATGGGGCTGGCTAAGTGAGATGCTTGGAGTGACTTTTCACGACTGTACATGTCTCAGACACAGAGAAGCCCTTACAGCAATTATTTTTAATTTTCCATAATGCTCTTTGAAGCACTACAGTTGAGGTTAGACCTAGCCTTGTATCAGTAGTGCCACAACTGTGGTAAGGCTGTGGCATCACCAGTCCTTTAATCTAGAGGCCAGGTCACCTTATAAAATGCTTCGAAATTTTCTGTGATTCAGTCACTATAAAGCTGTACCATGAGCTCATTTCCTACAGTAACCCATCTGTTACAGAGAATGTGCTGACTTTCTCCCCACCATGTTGTGCTGTATCACATAATCCTTTTTTTTTTTTCTTCCCCCTTCCATTACAGCTTAATGTCATCTTCCTTGGGATTGCTCTATATAAAATGTTTCATCATACTGCCATACTGAAACCTGAATCTGGATGTCTTGACAATATCAAGTAAGTGGCTTTTCTCTGCCTGTTTCTGTCTTTTCCTGTTTATTCCCTCATTCCTCTGAGGTGTGAAACAGGGGAACTGCTCTGCCAGCAGCAGTGCTAACCAGGGATAATACCTTGGGCTATGGCACTGCAAAGTGGTTTCTAAAAGATACCAAGTGGCTGATGATGAAGCACTATACTGGGATTTGGCTGCAATTGTTGGCATTTTCAGTTCAATTTTTCATGAAGGAGGCAAGGCTACATTTTCTGTCCTTGAAGCAGGTAACCTTCTAGTCTACGTAAAGGAAATTCTGCCCAATAATTACCAGCTAATTATTGCAGTCTCTACAGGGAAGGTGTTGAAACTGTTGATTATTACTCCTTCTGTGTGCTCTGAGGGCAGCTGCCTTATGTGTTTTCTGTTTGTTTTGGCCCCTAACAGATTCCATGACCCAAATTCTCCCCCAGAGTCTGATATTGCTTTCGGCAAAGTTATCAAGGATTTAGCTGGGGGTGCCCACATCAGCGGGTGGATGTGCTTGCCAGCCAAAGCATGTTTTGCCCTTGTACTGGGTTAACATCTTAGCCTGGGCATCTTACTGTCTAGCAAGCTGCTTCATTATATTGGTAGAGTATTAGTCTCTGTCAGTGCCTGTTTATTCAGCTACCTCTGGCTTTAATTACTCTCTTCAAAAACACAAGGCAGATTTCAGGTGCAGTGCGTGATAAAATTGGGAGCCTGCTAATTAATAAAACCATCTAATGAGATTCAGGAGGAAGAAATTGTTGGACTCGGCACTTTATTGCTCACCCAGGAAAGGAGAGTGTGGTGCAACAAGGCCTGAAGTGGGTTCTCCTCTCTCTTTTATGGTCGGAAAGGGAGAAGAGGCATAAGGGGAGCTTGTTAAAAGATGTCTGAATAGCACACTTGCAAGGCAGCTCTCAGCAGGGCTAGTGTTCTTACTGCTGAGCTGCTCTTGCAGATGCAGCTTTAATTTAAACCAGGTCAGGCCCCCCACCAAAACTTTCTCAGCAGGCAAGGCTTGCAGTGCCATTGGTGTGCCACAACCTGGCATGGTCCCTTGGGTGAAGTTTTAGTTTCTTAGGTGCAGCTTCTCCCTCGAGGGTTGGGAGGAAAGGGCACTGGAGTCAGCACAAATGCAGGAGACCCCAGTGAGCTCAAAAACCTCAGAACCCTCGTTTGCCCAGGTTGTAGAGAGTCTGCTCTGCAGGGAGCCTCAATTTCTCCTGCCATTGCTCTGCTATAAAATTAAATTAGAGGAGCAATCCCTCCTGGATGTCCAGGATTGATCCCAGAAAGATAGCTTGTCATTTGGTCTTGGATAAGGCATTAAAGGCATGGTACATTTAATAACATTTATTAATGTGGCTACTTGTCATGCATTAGTGTTGTGGGATTACTCGCTGAGAACAGTCTCTCTAAGGTTACCCACACAAAACCATCTTACTGTATGACATTTAAATTAAAAAGTGGGAAGAAGAAAAACAACAAAACCCATATAATTAAAGCTGAAATAATAAATGCCTACTGAATAATCTTCTTGAGCTAATTTCTAGTATCTTTGTTTAAATGCCAGGAGTTTATACAACCAGTTGCATCAATTATAATGTCATTGTAAAATATTTTATAGGTTCTTTGGCAGATGAGTGTCTATTCCTGATTTGACTTCATTAAAACGTTTTGAAAACACAAGCAATTAAAATACTTTTAAGTATGTTGCTGATACTCTTCCAAATGTGTTGCTTCATTACAAATTACTTTTTATGCTTGAGAAAATAAGAGCAACATAATATAAACTCGGGAAGACCCCAGGCTCACCCCAGGAAGTTTATCAAACCAAGCATTTCAGAGCAGACTTGATTGTAATTTCTGAATACCTAAGCAGGCCATCATTAAGTCTCTAAATTCAAGACATGTGTTGTCTCAGTGTTGGATGTGCTTGAGTTAGGAAGAAGTGCAGATTTGTAACAGAGAGGGGAATTCACCTTGGAGGGAGGTTTCCTAGGGAAGCGAGGGGCTTGCAATCTCAAGAAAAGTTTCAGTAAGATCATAGTTGTCTTCTAGATACAATCATAGTCTTGTTGTGGTCTTCCTGCACAGTTGTTGGCTCTAAGTCAGTTGCAAAACATGGATGTGTTACAGCAGTTCCAGAATAAAAAGCCACAGAACGTTTATTTCACAGGGGACCACAAAGATCCTTTCTGAGCTACCCTCCATGGGTCTACAGGGTTAGTAAAAAGGCACCCAGATCCCAGAGCCTTCTGTCTTTTTGTATCAGTTTATATTTAATAAAACAAACCAAACCAAGGGCCTGCATTGGAGGGCCCCTTGCTGCCATCTGCATGTGACAGCTTTACAGCACATGGAGAGCTGAATTAGAACTTGTTCTCCCAGATCATTTCCTAGCATTACTCTGTGTTAGGCTGTGGTGAAGCTCTCGCAACATAAATCCTGAGCCTGTTTAACAACAGCAAAATACTTGATTCCCTATGGCAACGTAAAAATAAAGGCCATAAAATATTTTAATAGGCTGTTAATAAGCGCCCCTGCAATCTGGTCCTTGCCTATGTCACTTTAAAGGTTAGAAATACATTATGAAGTATAGAAAATAGAGAGCCAAATAACTCCACTTAAATTAATGAACATGATAAGGGATCAGGTGTCACCTGGGATACCTTTAATTACTGCACCAACAGAAAAACCATTCAAAAGGCAGTGCATGAACCAGATGTTGTGTGTCTGATAGATTTGTAGGCACTGTGCAAAGTTGTAAAAATAAACTTCCCTAACCCTCAGGAACAGTCCCTGGATTATTGTGCCAGCGTGGGAGATTGTGACGTTCCTGCAGTGGGGCACTGGTTACCCAGGGGTTACCCAGCAAGAGATTTGATGAGTACAGAGCTGGTTTATATTTGTCCTTGTTAACTTTTCTAGCTTAGCCCAGTATTTCAAGAGAGAAGTAGAGTCACTACATATGTGGTTCCTTCACCCTGTGCCAGTGGCATCCTCCCTGTATGACAGGTTGGTACTGAGCCAATTCAGCAGGTTGTGCCCACTGAGACAGCAAGATTCGTGCTCTAGTCCTGCTTTTGAGGCATGTAGCCAGGAAAAGATGTGACCCTGTGTATGTGGGATATGTTGTTCAGAGCTGCAAGAGTTTCTGTGCTTGCCAGGAAGATATTGGCTTCCTTTTCAGAAGAGGTACCATCCCCAAAAGTAGCATGCTTTTACCTAGGCCCATGTTGAAAAAGTTCTGTTTGATGTCTTCCTTCAGTATATTTACACAGAATTTTTAAGGATTCATTTAGAATGGGGTTCTCTTCTGCCCTTTAAAGATCTCTTTAGTGTGAAGTGACACAGACAAGAATGCGCAAACAGCTTGGGTGGTGTGTGTAGCTTCTCACCATGCCTCCCCAAACACAGACTGGGAGGGGGTTTTCCTTCCCAGCCTATTACAATGGCTTTTTCTGGGTGCTCAAAGTCCACTGTGGCCATTGCTCTTTCATCTGTGTGTGGCTTGTTGGCAAACACAGGTGAGCAGAGATGGGCAGAGAGGAGCATTGTTTAGTCCTGGGCAGCCCTGCCCACATCACTTTTTTCTCACTCCTGGCCCATCTGAGGTGAAAAGTGGGATGCAAAGGGTGCACAACAAGCCTCTTGAGCACAAACTAATTTGCTGTCAACAAATGTACCCAGGAAGGCATTGTTTTGGAAGATTGATTCCCCCAGCCTTTACAAGCTTGCAGGGAAGGCACATCTTTCGAGCCGGGGACTACATAAACTTTTTGAATGGCGAAGGCCTGCTGTGCTGCTTGCACCTGTAGCCTGTGAGGTGGATACTGTAGGCATATCAGCACAGTATTGATGCATTCTTGCTAACAGATGGCTCCTCATGAGGATGTGCTAGCAGCTGGAATTCTTTGGAGCAGCTGTGAGGCTGTTTTACCGGAGGTTGCTGTTGTCTGGAGTGATTTCTGGAGCCAAGCGGCGCAGAGGCTCTCCTTTGTGCTTTTCCATTGTGCCAGGAAGATTCTGGTTGTGCAAAATGTCTCAGATTGTCACAGACAAGCCTACACTGAATCTTTTTCATATTCACATTCCTGTAGGAAGCCTCATGTGACAATGGAAAATACATTATATGTGAATAGTCCAACACGGTTCTTCCATTTTCCATCCATCAGCTCCTTTCCAGGTGGTCAGGTGTGTACTGTGGCAGCTTGCACACCAGGTTTCCATCCAACCCATGCCAGATGCTGCAGCACAACAAACCATCCCCATTTCCAGATGCTTAACCACCATCCTCTGTGCAAAACAGGATTTCAGGTGGAGCCTTTGCATTGTGTGGCAGTGCAGTGCTTGTTCTGCAGCCATTTAAATACTGCTCATTCAAATCATCGTGGTTATAGTGAAGGGAAAAAAAAGAAGAGCTACACTGATGGTAATCCAGATGCACTCTTGAGGATATATAGTGAAATCTGAGCTCTTGTCTTGCTGCAAGCTCTCATTGTGCACAGGGTGAGACTCATTAGTTAATGACATGGAAAACTGCTGGAAAACTGGGAGGGGAGAGCAGGCATTCAGCTAACAAAAGGCAAGTTCTACAACCAGATTAAGGGGGTTCATCAATGGGGGTCGAGCAGCTGCTGCACCTGAAGTTACAGTGGACTTTTCCAAATGGCTGGAGGGGAGAGGATCTCTCTCAGGAAAGACCAGAAGCCATCATTTTCTCTTTCTTACAGATATAACCTTTCTTTTGAAGTTCCCACAGGCATCCATCCCTTTTTTTCCTGGTGCTTCCTGGCTGTGGTTAAGTCTGTTAGTGTTTCCCCAGACCAGACCAGACTTCCTGACATTCTTCTATGCTGTAGTATGTGGCAACAAGATTTTATTTTGTTTACTTTGGAAGAGCAATACATCAATTGTAGCTGCCAAGAGCAGTTGCAGACTGTTACGTGTAGTAGATATAATTCGCGCCATTTCTAATACGATATATGTGATA